CTGCAAACTGTGGTATCTTTTGTACTCTGGCGCATTTTGTTTTTTAAAGAATTATGCATTATTTATTCCAATAGGTTATAAGTCTCAATATTTTGCTTCATACAGACTTTTTTTTTTCTTTTTGCACAGATCATGCATGCCTTTTCAGTTGCTCCTTTTGACCAGAATCTGTCGATTGATGGGAAGATTTTAAGTGATGACTGTGCCACCCTCGGCACCCTTGGTGTCATTCCTGAATCTGTCATTTTGTTAAAGGTAGGTAACATTTCCTTTGCTGAGGAATTATAGAAGGTCTTAATGATACACACCCATGTGTAAATTATGTGCAGTAGAGGTCACGGTTGCCTCAGGTCCTCAGCAGGGTGTGGTAATAAGCGACTGCTGTGAACTTTTGGTGGCTTCTGGATTCTCCACCTCTTAGCTTAGCCACAGAGACTTAGAGGAGGTCACGACATTATCAGGTCTCATGGGGTTGTTATTATTTTTGTTAAAAATAATAGATCTAGATTTAGCTTCTTCCCTAATTTCTGGATCAGCAGAATTACTTAACCATACTTCTATTAAAGCATCCCTCGTTTCCTCTTGGCTCGAAAGTATGTACCAGCCAGTAAAGCTAGGAAACAGACATGAGACTTGGCCACAGCAGTCAAAATACTTTTGGTTGGCTTCATGGGATTCTTGTCCAGGACATGGAAATTGGCTTTGAGTAGAATGGACTTAGGACGGGTGGAAGATGTTTTAGAAAATAGGGTTTCTGAGAAGTTGTCAAAGAAAATGAATCATTGAACCAGCCTCATTAGTCCAATTCTACCCTCCCTAGGGGCCTGATTTTGTCACTTCCCTTTGCCTCTTGTTTCTTTGTGACCAGAAGTATCACTGCTGTGCCAAACACCACTGCATCATGTGGTAGAATATTTGTCAGGTTTTGACCTGTGAAATAAATGCTTTTCATACCTTAGAGCCTCAATTCTGACGAGATAAAGTTAGGCCCTAGAAATGATGAAGCAGACTCATATCTACCCCACACATGTACACACACCCTTCACCCTATTACCTACCCCTTCCCTCTGTTTACTTTTTGCTTTTCTTAAAGCTGTAGGTTCTGTGGAATTGTTTTGAAAACCTATTGAGTTGCTGAGTCCCAAGGGCCCTTCAGAAATCCGAGAAACGACTTGTATTATTAAAGAATTTGTACTTCAGATGAGTAGCTAGACTCTGCCAGTTATTTGCCTCTTTGTTCAGCTAATCCCATCATAGCTTAGACTCTAAGAAGGATATGGGTATTTTGTTCCCATTGGTGGTGAGGAGGGACAAAAATGTATTTTTAACCTACATGGTATTTTTAGAGGACCAGTCTGACTTTACTTCTACCTGACTCACTGTCACCACTAGTATCTTAACTCACATTAATTAAATCAGAATTTAGTGACCTCAGGGTATCTAAACATTTCTACATCTAAAGGTATTTTTAGAAGCAGGAAAGCAATGTCACATACGGTGCAGTTTTTGGGTGATGAGTGCCTACCCATCGTTGGCAGGGTATCCTTTGTTAATTCTGGACATTGCTGGCTGTGGCCTGAACCCGGTTCTCCACTGGACAGTTTGGATTTGTGTCTTGTAGAAGTTCAGTAGTCGACTCATGGGCCAGACTCAGTGTGATGAAAACCTGGCCTGCTGCTCTTTCTGGCTCTCTCTCTTGTGGTTTTGAATTGTCTTCATTTGTTTTCTAGGCTGATGAACCAATTGCAGATTATGCTGCAATGGATGATGTCATGCAAGGTAAAGACAAAAGAATCTTAACCTTAGTTATCTTACAAGATCGTAGATAGAGAGAAAAAGATATCTATAAAAATTTGGAAAACGGAAAGCAGAGAGAAGAGTAATTAGAGCTGACACGAAGAAACAAATGTAAGCCTGCAGATGGAAGAGGTCAGCAAGCAGTGAAGCTAATTCAAGTTGCAGAGCCTCAGGCAGGCACGCAGAAATTGGAGACCCCAGGTACCCCTGTAAGTGGGAGTGGGGTATGAGCCTAAAACAGGAAACTTGGTTGAAAAACCGTATACGAAGCAATTGGACAACTCACCACTCCCCAGATCCTCACAGCCCCTCCCTTTCCACCCATGTCACTGCCTCTTCCCCACCTGTGTTCCTTAGATGAGCAACTAGAGTATGTGTTTCAGCTCTTTGACTAAATTAAACAGAAAGGAGGCCTGTTACATACCAAATAGGGAGACCACCTTCTATCTCTTTGTTCGAATGCTGGCAGCCCATCTCTCTTAACTCCACATAGGAAGGAGGAGATTCCTTTGTGGGGAAACTGGCCAATTCAAGAAAATAATCTACAGATATAAAAAAGAAAGTGGTTCATTTCCCAGGGACCCTTATGAAGCCTACCAGTGCTCACTGAACAGTTTTCAGTCATCTTTTTAGTGAGTCACACTTAACTAGGCAGAAATGGGCAGCCAGCGGTCCCGAGACAGTTGAGGAATGAGAGCATAGAACTGAAAGATGTCAGTCACAGACTGAGAGAAAGGACCCCAGAGGAAATGGACAATGCAGGAAGCATAAGAAAGCTTACAAATTAACTATAATGCAGAGAGAAAGAACAAACAACAACAAGGAACAAAATAAAAGGAACATTTGGAGAACAAAAAGGAGTTTATGAAAATAAACGATTGCACCAAGGGCCCAATACAGGAAGTGAAATTCTAGGGATAAGAGGATCCTAAAAGCATCTTAGAGATGTGGGAGGAAAACCAATCATAGTCGTAGGGTGAAGAGTCAGAAAGATAAACTAATGGAGCGATGCCAAAGAGGAAAAGTGAATTCCAGTCTAGAATTCTGTAATTAGACAGACTTAATTTTACCCCTCACACTTGATAGCTCTTGGAACACATGTAAGGACTCAGAAAATTTATCTTGCAAGCACTATTTGCCAAGATGCTATGGGAGGATGTGCTCTTAAACAACAGAGTGAATCAAGAAAGAAGTCAGCAGTGGAACCAGAAAACAGGGATCCGACTTAGGAAAAGGTACCCTAGAAGATGGTGAAGGGAAATTTCAGAACAGAAGCCCTATATCAGGCATGGAGCACACCCAGTCCAGATGGGAGCAGGGGGATGTAGGCTTTGTCAAAAGATGTCCAACAGGGAAAAGTGGAAGTGATAGATGATTATCTTGAGGTTTATAGGTCTTGAAGAGTTTACACTTGAGTTGGAAATGGTACAGATAAAATGAAACACAAATAATGGAGCAGTTACCAACCCCCCCTCCCCCCCCAAAAAAACAAAAAAAAACCCGAAAAAGTCATGCCAGACAAGAAATGGTATAACCAGGGTACACCAAAGGATTCAATTGTGAACAATATATTTAGAGTTAAGAATATTGTAAACACCGGAGATCGATTGACTTAACAACAAAGTATCACTGTCGGGAGGGTGGGGTTGGGGGCCGCTGGTATGTAAGAGGTGGTAGAAGAACTAAATGTCTATCTTTCATTGAGGAAGTTATTAGACATTATCTAAAATTATGAAATAACAATATAAACATGTTATTTAGAAATAAAGAGGTTAAATACCAAAAGAAATGGCTACAAGAGTCAAAATGGATTCCTTCTGGAGTCTGGGAATGGGGGGACAGAGCAGGCAGAGTGCC